TCATTTTTCTTTACTAGATGTAAGTCGATAGACCTCCATGGATCCTGACCTTGAACGAGCGGGCAGAGCCCTGTCATCAGAGTGAGAATCCAATGACTAAGGATGTGATCGATTAATTGTCCTGCATTTAGGGGCCAAAAAAGGACCCGCATGGAAACCAGAGGCTGGTGCCTGAGGAGGTTGACCCAGGCAGTCACTGGAAGGAACAGTGGGGACAGAGATTGGAGTAGATGTAGATCTATCAACTCTATTATCCATGGAGGGCAGAAGACCCCGCACATGGCGTGAAAAAGACTCAGAGGGAGGCACGGAAAGGTCCGTCTGCACTCCCACTGTAGCAGTGGAGTGTAGTGCAGAGGCATATGTCCGAGATGTAGTAGGGGACAATAGCTTCCGAGCCTCAGGATAAGAGATGTTATTAAGAGTCTTCAAACACTGTACCTCTTTCTCCTCCACCCACTTAGGGCAAGACTTAAAGTAAGAGGGGTGGGAACCACTACAATTAACAGAGTGAGGGTCCAGTTTGCACCCGTAGGCATCATGGTCCTTGCCACCACAACAAGCACACATCACAAAACCATGACAAGATGTCTTTGAGTGACCGAACTGCTGACACTGAAAACATCGGAGAGGGTTGGGAATATAGGGCTGTACCTTACAGTTCAAATAACCTGCCTTAACAGCGGCAGGTGGATGTGGTGATGAAAACGTCAAAATCAAAACTGAGGTCGGCACCATAATTCCATCTTGACGAGTGGAGATCCTTCGAACTGCTGAAACTCCTTGGCTGGAGAAACCAGCAAGGATCTCCAATTCGGGGATAGACTTCAAGTCCCTCTCAACAATAACTCCTCGTGAGGAATTCAAGGAAGCGCCATGGAATCCTACGAGGGGACGCATTACAATGTCAAACAAGGACACTGCAACAACGCCAGGGTTTCGTGAGCACTATACCCAAACACCAGTATCAGACACGATGTCCACAACACCCGTTGAGAACGCCAAACACTGGTACTCAGTTGACTCTAGCCCCAGTGGACCAGCCGACTGACCCTAGGGGGGCCACCCGTCTACAGGAATTCAAGGCCAAAGTGGTGTGTTGCAGTGCCCCAGACACCACTCAACCATCAGGATCCTCTCCTCCCCTTCACGGGTCGCCACGCACGGTAAACACGTGGGTGGATGTTTAGATCCCAGAGAAAGTAACTGAAAATACAGAACCTTCCCTGGGAGGTCCCCTCACCATGTACAGGAATCCACGTCGAGGGGCTGAAAGTTTGTCAGGTTATTATTATTTTCATCATTTCAAGTATATTCTATTTGTGACAAGAATTTTAAAACCTAATTTGCCAATATTAATGTTTTTCCATTATAATGCTTGAATTTGTTGTAGCTACAGTGAGGTGATTTCTTGGGAGAAGCATCACATCAGCATGTGCCTTCTCAGCACAAGATGGATATATTCTTTTATTTAGAGGGATTGTTGACTAGAAAAGGTACTACTCTACTAATAAATTACTGTAAAGCAGTCAATGTAGTACATATGAACACATTATAATCTATCAAAACATCATATTATGATTTGCTAATCCATTGCTGAACAGAATAAGTATTATTTAAGAACTATTTTTTAAGGTGATTTCCTTGGAGAAACATCAAATCTGCACTACAAAATTAACCCAGATATTTTCATATATAAACGTGTGACCTGTAAAGTGTTAAAACCCAAAATGTAATAATGTCATATATACAGCAGAGAAATGTCTATCTGCACAGGCTATCATATTTCATCAAGATCAGGTAAAACCCACATTTTGTGTCTAGGCCTACATACAGCACAGAAATACATGTTAAAATTTACAGTTAAAAATATAAAATAACAGTAACAATTACAACTAAATTATGGATAGAAAAACTTATGCAAAAAAATGTCAACCACTGAATAATTCATTGACATAATGTTTATATCTAATAATTTACAGTGCAATACAATTAATACACCAGAAGCAAGCAACAAATGTAGTGTATATAATTTATTTAGAGTTTACACTAAAGTGTTAATAACTTGCAGAAACAAAATAACAAAATTTATTTATTATTTATTCAAAAAAGAAAGGTCAAATTTGTAATCAAAATTTTTCAATGTATGGTAAAGGATTTTTGCCAATACATGTGTATAAAAATGTATACAGCTACATAACTGTTCACTGAATATTTGTACAAAGCCATCCCAAATTTTGAACTAATAGACTAGAGGGAAGGCAGCTAGTCAACACCATTCACCACCAACTCTTGTCAGACTAAATACTGGGATTTGATCATCATGCTTTTTGTTGTTTGTTTGGTACTAATGGGATGTAACAGCTCCACAGCCCAGCATGCAAACCACTGAGCCACACTAAGACCAAATTAGGCAATAGTCAAAATTCACATTTAGTATGCACTTCAATGCACAGCAAACAAATGTACATCACAAATTGTAGTTAAGAGGCATCAAATTTAGAATATAAAAAAATATGCATTATAATCCAAAATATACAAATCACAAATACACAAGGAGAAAGGAAAACATAGTAAGTGTAACGTATGTTATACATAAAAAAAGATATCAAACATATAAAAGGAAACAGTATATAATGAATAATAGATATGTGTAATACAAGATCAGAATACGCACCACGAGGTCTGGAAGGAAGATCAATTGGAACAATGATTCTCCGAACCAAGTATTCTGATCTCTGGTTGAACAGTCCCACACTGCGAGATTTCAACAGTTCTGTTGTTGTTACCTCATTCTCTGTAGAAATTGTATTAACACCTCCTGGTGGTGGCTTGGCTTGGATGTCATCCCAGCGTAAACTACACCATAAAACACGTAGTTGTAGTGCAGCAGCATGAATTGAACTAATGGTTTTTGTACGATATCGCCAACAGATTTTGAATATGGGGCGAGGGCAAATACCATAAGGCCAAATGTATTGGTTTGTTTTTGCTACATAATTAAAACCACTAACTTCTTTCATGCCACAGTGTCTACTAAGTTTTCTTAGTTCATGTGTTGGAATCACCAGAATACTATGCTTTTTCCCAATTGTTGTTTTAAATTTGTAGCATGATGGAAGTGAACTCTTTACCATTTTTCTGGTCTTCTTAGTACTTTTTGATAATTTGCTCAAATATACTTTTCCTGCAGTGGTTCCATCACTGTTAACAGTTGCATTCAAACCTGCCTTTTGACTGATTCTACGAGACTCTGTTGTAGTTCTAGCAGAAGTTCTTATCCTGCCTCCACCACTCATTACTGTCACAGTTTTCTTATCAGCTGCTTGTTGTGACATAGCTAATGCTGAAACACTTACTTTACCATCAGTATCTGTAGAAATCGTGGATGACTGGCTAGTTTCACTGCTGGAGCGATATGTCACAGTTTCTTTAACGCTACAATTGTTTTTGAAATTATCTTTCACTTCTTTCATAGGAAAACTTGTAGTTGATGCTACTGTTGATTGAGTGACAACTACTGTTTTAACTTCCGTCACAGTTGTGGTTTTTACCACAGTGGACTTCACAGAATTTTTCATTTTTCCATTTCTAGTGGGAGAATTTGTAATTAATGGAATGTATTTGGATACAATTGGTTGTAGTGGAGGTGGAGAAGATGGTGATTTGAAAACTGATGGTTCAGTTTTTTTTACAATTTCTTTTTCATTTATGGAAGAATTTTTACTAAAAAATGCATTTTTTATGGACTCATTGGTGGAAACTTTTGGAACTATCTTAACTTTATGTTGTAACCTAGTTGAACAAAGTGGTGCATAGCATGTTCTGGGCTTTTCTTTATTTCTATTACTTCTACAAAGTGTAGAGTAACAAACAGTAGTTAATGGTTTTGATAGTTCGTTCTCTTTAACTGAAACCAACTCACTGTCAGATTCAAAACCTACCTCTCCATTAGGTAGGCTATTTAATGATCTCTTGTCAGCTGATTTAATATCTAACTCCAAATGCAATTTAGTTTCTTCTTTATTTAACTTCAAGACTTTATTATCAGCATCTTCCAGAGTTTCATTTTTCGTTGTGACATATAACATATTGTCCTGTACCACAGAGTTAATTTTGTTAACAGGCTGTTTTGGTTTAATACTGACAGCATTAGAATCTTTTTCTTCTTTCACAGCAGCTTTATCTGTATTTGTGTTTTCTTTAATATTCTGCTTTTCAGGCAGATCCATTTCATTCATTTTTAGCCTTCGTTCTAAAAAAACATCTAGTTTAGAAGCCTTGGCTATTTTAGGAAAAACTGTACGAACAGTAGCCTTAAGTGATTCAGAAACATTTATAAGGTCCATATTTAGATCTTGACTCACTGTAAGATAACTAAGTTTACCCATGATACTGCTTTTCATAACTCTCTTTTGATTCTCTGATAATTCTATCCTCTTGGCTTTATTACCGTTGTTTGGTTTGTCTGAAATAAACAAATCATGCATTATCTGCTTATCTAAACATGAATCATCAGCATGACCTTTTTCTGAACTTTGATATTCTCCAAAGTCTTTCTCCTGAACATGTGGAAGATCAATGGAATGTGACTTTTCAACTTTATCAGCATCCACATTACAGGAAAGGTCTGTTTTTGATTCTTCTGTAAATGTTTGTGTACTATCAGCTTCTGAAAAATTTGGTATTTCAGATGCATCATCTATTTTACATGCATCTTTCTCAGCAGAAATTTCAAAGGTTTTATCAACATCCATTTTTTCTTCATCAACTTCATTTTTCACTGGTGAAACAGACTGTTCTTGGACAACTTCACTTGTCTCTGTCAGTTTCTCTTTGACTTTATAATCTTCTTTATCTAATTCCATGTTCTTTTGTTCTTCTTTCACATTGTTAAAACAAGTTTGATTAACAATATTAGCAGCCTCTTTTTGATTATCACCATCTTCAGTACTTCTTTCTGCTACCAGACTCTGCATTGTTTCACATTTGGACTTTTCAGAAGAACCACTGAAATTTTCAGAAGCATTTTTTATAGACACTGGTACATCTTTACACTTTGAGCCTCCCCATGCATCAATTATTTTTGCTCCACTTTGACCTCCTCTTAGTGCTAATACCACTTTAGCTGGTCCTCCTCGAAGACCCAGGTTGCAGGAGGACAAATGGCGTGCCATACGAGTGCTGCTGATCCACATCCAACCACCTTGACCATTGATTCGGTACTCTTCCCCTTTTTGCTTCCACACCTAGTGTACAGATGGGGAGAAGAAGAAGAAAAAAAAAACTGATATAATACAAATTCAATGAAAAACAACAAAGCTTATTATGTTGAATAGTCTATGTACAAATATTATTTTCAACTCCAAATATTTTAAAAACTGTTAACTATACAACGTTTACGTACAGAAATGCTTGGATTTCATATATAGATTCTAGTTTCAATTGAGACAATGAAGATGTTTTATATATAAAATAAAAAAAGATTTATATGCATCAACTCGTCTTTACAACAGATTTTGATTCTTTTGCAATTACAGTTAAAATCCTGTACTTTTGGTTGGTTTTACAATGGAAAGCCCTGCAACTCCACTTAGAAATTCTAAAACCTACATTACACAATCTTCTGTAGATTTGACAGACAAAAATATATTCATAAATTCTGTATGGAGGTGGAATGATATACTTAATAGTTGTATTTCTTACACAAACAATGACAAAAATCTTAATTTTGCAGTTTGCAAGTAATCAAAAGTTCAAATTTAATTATTCCCAATTAACTTGAACAATATTTCTTTCTGCAGAAAAAGTCTAAACTAAATATCCAATAATTATCTACATTCCATGAAAATCAGCTTCTTTATACAAACGACTAATAAAAAATACCCCAAACTTCTGAACTTGGCAACTGCTTGTCAAGTTTCAAATATCTCCTAATTAAATACTAACTGGCAGTTGCCATTTTTCATAACTACATATATAAATGTATATTTTAAATTAGTTTAATTCATTTTTATATCTTGTTAAGCTAGAAGTAATTATAATGAAAATTTCCACATTTAAAAGGATTACTTCTTTAAAATGTCTTGTTCAAAAGGAACAAAACTGCATTAGTCACACTCAGAATAACAATTTTATTTTCAAACGTTTTGACACAGTACAAGATGTTTCAATGTCATATCATAATGCTTTTATTACTTTTCATTTACTTTTTTCACTATAATTTAAATGTGACAATGTGCACGGTTACATGGTGGTTCACTGTGCTCTCAAAATTCATCAGTTTTATTTTATTTAAAAGACAGTTTGAAATAGAAAGTGAGTGCTTATTTTCTTAAAAGTAGTGGAGGTTGCTTAGAATGTCCAATATATATAAAAAAAAACATAGATGTTTTTTGAAGAAGTAAATGGAAGAATACTGCTGGAGAACTTTATTTACCATAAGCTACAGTGTTAAAATTTAATCATAAAATACTACAGCCCAAAGTTTATCACTTTATACACCTGCATAAGATTAAGAAAGGTGATGCAACTTAGTGAATCAACTTTTCAAACTGGATTTTAGTTAGGTGGATCACTGAAGAAACCCACGACCACATTACCAGGAGCCTACTGATTATCATTATGTCATTATATCACATTTAAAATGGATTGTTAATTGTTTGAAATTATTGATGAAGTTGGTCTTGCCCAAATTGTTTCAATAAATTGAAGAAATAATTTGGAAAACCATGTTATTCCATGCCTAGAGAAGCAAGGCATAAAGACCATCTTCCACACAAGATGGAGTAAATCCAACATTTTCACTGAAGAGAGAACCATATGACATCTATTCATGCAAATACTGACACTGCCTCAATAGACTTTTGTCTATGAGATTTCCTCAGAGTAGCCAATGAAGTTTAGAAGATCTGATCATAGCCATAAAAAATAAAATAGTAGGTAATAATAAACACTGTCTAGAATATATGATGTTTACAGTACCTTCATTTAATAATAGGCTTAATTTATTGACTGAGTGAGAAACATATTGAACACCTTCTATGACAGCTTCTGAATCACTATGCACTGCAAAATACAAACCTTCTTGAATAAAACCTGTGATTCTCATCGTACCTCATATATAATTTAGTTCCCCCTGGAAAAGTAGCTTTTAAGATATTTTAGATATGGGGTTTTTCTTCACTATCACCCAATACATGTTGCATTATGCAACTGGTTATGTTCTGGCAGTTAGTTAAACATTTGAAAACTGTAAAACTTTACCTATCAAACATTACATCTGGCTTGGATCTAAATAAAAACTTTGATCATTGTATAAACTAAGTTCAACACTTAACATTTTAATAGTAATAGAAAGAGCAGGTGTATACATTGTTTATCCTAAAACTAAGGAATCATGAGTGAGTGCTTTATATGTATGAAATGTTCATTAAACTTGGTAGTGGTTAGGGCAGATACATAACTCTATGTTCTTTAACATTATACTATGTTGAAAAATCCAGTACAAAAACTGCTCTGATTTAAGCCATTAATGAACTTCATGAATATTACTTCTGTTTGAAGACAAAATATACCAAAAATTTTAAAGGAAATAAATTAAAAGTAATATAAACTTAAATTTTCAGTTGTTCAAAAAAAGACCATATTGCTTTTTCTTGATTAACCCTTTCAACCCGGGCTTGGTCCCTAGGACCGACCTCGTAAGCATTTTGTGCTTGTTATAGTTTTCATGCTATAACTTTTAAATTATTAAGCGAATGTTAATGAAATTTGGCAGTTTATCAGTAAACATTACAATAATATGCATATGAAAGCATTAACATTTTTTTATTACATCTTAAGGTTTGTAAGGCAATGTTTCTCTCTTGCCTCTTTTTTCTTTTCACATCTTGCCTATCTATCATGCAAAATAATTTTCATCTTAAGATTAAAAATACTTTTATGCATCAGAAAATTTTGAAATTTCACAAGCAAAATCTTTATAATGTCTGGATAGTTATCAAACATTTCTTAAGAAAAAAATTTTTATATTTTATCTGTTATTTTCAGTAATTAATCTCTGTATTGGTTCGGTAAATTTGACCGATCTCGCAACTGCCATAAAAAAATTAGGGAATAAAAATAAATTATGCCTCTTTCATTCTCGAATGAACACAAATAATAACACAAAAACATAAATGTTTAGATAAAATAGCTTAAATTTCAGTACATTATACATTTTTATATATATATATATATATATATATATATA